ATATATCAAAAATATCCTCTTCTGCTCTTAAAGTTATCCCAGTTATGATGACTGATGATAAATTATATGGTATTTCTATCTAACCATGACATTATGGGGGGATGAAGCTGAACTTTATGGAATTGCAAAATCTTTTGCAGGTACTATTATCTAAGAAAACAGACCTATGATCTGTAAAGAGTACACTAACCCCTGAAATACGGACCAAATGAAGCATAAAAGTTCAATCAATTTTCAGGACTCCATGTTTGGATCCCCTTCCATGTGCACTCCCTTCATGGAAGCCATCTTTCTCTCTCCTTGATTTTCCCTCTGGAGTCCCCTTCCACACTCTTTCGTGGAAGCCTGTCTTCCCCTCCTAAACTCCATCTCTCTATTCCCTTCCACTCAGTGTGGAAGCTGCTTTCCTCTCCTAGATTCCATCTTTCTGGATTCTCTCACTCAGTGTAAGAGTTAGCTTTTTATTTCTCTCCTTCTCTGGTTTCTCTCTCTCTCTCTCTGAATAAATCACTTTCTACAAAAAAAAAAAAAAAAAAATTCAATCAATTTTCATGAAACTGAGCTACCACTATGAAGCTGGAGGATACTCTTAGAGTATCAATTTATGGGAATAACAGGCTAGAATTATTTGAAATCCATCCCCCCACTAACAACAACTAAAAATGCTGAGTAAAACATATTTGTAAAATACCATAAGGACAGCAAAGAGCTGACAAGATAATAAAGACTTACAGTGCCAAACCGAAGGAAGAACCAGCTCATCTCAGAGAAGGGACCCAGCCCACAAACTGCTTTTGGCCCCGAGTGTATTTGCCTGTCCTAACAAATAGGAACTTTCTCTTTACAATTTCATGGTACCAGGGGCCAAATATCAAAGCCCAGAAGCCACTCAACATAGAGATTCTAGACACGCTCCACAGTGAAATGGGACTCCACGGGCTATACTGACAGGGAAACCAAGCCATGCCGTAGACGAACAGCGAGCCCCGCCTGAAGTGCTTGATTCGCCCCCAGAGCTTGATTCACGATGCTCCTAAATCCACAGTGCCCTCAGGCCATAGCACGCATGCACAAAATGGTAAATCTTCACTGGAAGGCACCTTCATCTCAGACTTCAAATCACTGTAAACCACAGAGTGAGATTTTTCACAGGTATTATAACTGTAGGCCAGTTTGAACGTTACCAAAAGATGCACTACTGTATTCCAGCAGCTCAGGCCTTCCTTATAACTTTTAAATACTAACACGCACAGTTAATTATTTGAGGATGCCTCCTTCTATTTGCTGTGTTAATAAACTTAGTCAAGAACCTGATCTCTTCTCCCCTCTCTGCCTTTTGAATGTACGTGTTGCCGAGAATGCTCCACATCTGTCATTGCGGAAATAACCTGCGTTCAAATGAGAGACTGCGCAAGTGATGGTCAGTAGGTGTGGTAGCAGGCAGGGTTAGAACTTCAACACCAAGAATCCAAACCTTACACACTAATTACTCTAACGGAGCACTCTGAAATACAAACATTACAAAGTAAATGCAACCCTAGAGTACTGACAGCAAAAAAGAGAAGGAGAGAAATGATGCTTGCTGTTTATTACATATATTTTGTTTTAGAGAAGCCAATGCTGTTGGTAAGAAAAGCAGAATCTTGGAGAAGCAGCTTATCTGAATGAAAACAAAAAGTACTGGTTAATGAAGGGGCCTGGGTGCAAGTTCAACCTGTCCCATTAATGAGCTGCATGATACTGAGAGGGAAACTGGACCAATCACAGGTCTTAGTTTGCCTGTCAATAAAAATGCCACAGAGCCAAAGCAAGACTAAGCAAAAAGAACAGATCTGGAACCATCTCATTACCTGACTTCAAACTATACTACAAGGCCACAGTCACCAAAACAGCATGGTACTGGTATAAAAATAGGCAAATACACCAACGAAACAGAACAGAGAACACAGAAATAAAGCCAAATACTTATAGCCAACTGATCTTTGACAAAGCACACAAAAACATAAAGTGAGGAAAGTACATCCTATTCAACAAATGGTGCTGGGATAATTGGCAAGCCACATGTAGGAGAATGAAACCGGATCCTCATCTCTCACCTTATACAAAAATCAACTCAAGATAGATTGAGGACTTAAATCTAAGACCTGAAACTATGAAAATTCTAGAAGATAACATTGGAAAAACCCTTCTAGACATTGGCTTAGGCAATGACCAAAGTCATGACTTAGACTTCATGACCAAGAACCCAAAGCAAATGCAACAAAAACAAAAATAAATAGGTGGGACTTAATTAAACTAAAGAGCTTCTGCATGGCAAAAGGAACAGCCAGCAGAGTAAACAGACAACCCACAGAGTGGGAGAAAGTCTTCACAATGTATACATCTGACAGAGGATCAATGTCCAGAATCTACATGGAACTCAAATTAGCAAGAAGAAAACAAAAAATCCCAACAAAAAGTGGGCTAAGGACATAAATAGACAATTCTCAAAAGAAGACATACAAATGGCCAACAAACATGAAAAAATGCTCGGCATTACTAAGCATTTTTATTCCTCCCACCCCCCCAAAAAAGACGAATGATCAGGGAAATGCAACCAAAACCACGATGCAATACTACCTTACTCCTGCAAGAATGGCCATATTAAAAAAATAAAATAATAATAGATGTTGGCATGGATGCAGTAAACAGGGAAGACTTCTACGCTGCTGGTGGGAATGTAAACTAGTACAACTACTATGGAAGACAGTGTGGAGATTGCTTAAAGAACTAAGAGTAGAACTGCCATTTTATCCAGCAATCCTACTACTGGATATCATCCCAGAGGAAAAGAAGTCATTATATGAAAAGATACTCACACACACGTTTATAGCAGCACAATTCGCAATTGCAAAAATATGGAACCAGCCCAATTGCCCATTAATCAAGAAGTGGATAAAGAATCGTGGCATATTCCATATGATAAAATACTACTCAGCCATAAACAGAAACAGATTAATGGCATTTGCAGCACCCTGGAAGGAATTGGAGAGACTATTATTCTACGTGAAGTAACTCAGGAATGTAAAACCAAACATTATACGTTCTCACTCATAAGTAGGAGCTAAGCTAGGAGGATGCAAAGGCATAAGAATGACACAATGGACTCTGGGGACTTGGGGGAAGCGGGGGAGGGGTGAGGAATAAAAGTCTACAAATTGGGTTCGGTGTACACTGCTTGGGTGATAGGTGCAACAAAATCTCAGAAACCATCACTAAAGAACTTAACCATGTAATCAAATACCATCCGTTCCCCAAAAATCTACGGAAATAATAACGTGTTTAAATGACGCTGGAGGGCTAGATAAATTTCTGTGGCCACTTCTATATCCAAAATCAATGATGTTTATGCTTCTGTGGATTTCTCAGTGGAGGCACATCCTGAGAGAAGTCAAGTTTACTCTAGAGGCCACAAGAGAGTCACACATGTAAATCCTGGTTCCAGACAATACACCAAGGCAGAACAGGACTTCACCTGCAGAAGGGCACAACCTCTTGCTGCTTTAGACTTGGAAGGTGGCCTTATTAAAAAGAAAAAAAAAGTGTACAGGGTTTCAAAGAGACTAAAGCAGTTACTTCACATCCTAATGGGATAAAGTTTGTGCATAATTCTGTATGATCCTTCAACTACTGCCTTGCATGCCATGTTATTGCTAGTGTTGCATGTGAAACAAGCACATTTTCAATGAACTCTCACTGGCTTTACCACAGACACAGATGTCAGGCGGACTTCTCTGTTCATAAGGTTCTCGTTATTAGCTCAATCCGAGTTGAATATTTGACTGAAGGAAAGAGCCATATCATTATTTTCAGATTTCATTGTATGACTTAACTGGGCTACATCTGCCAGCTTTAGAAACAGCAAGTACCGCCTGGCGCCAGCCTTGACCTTCTCTTTTATGACTATTGCCCCAAATGTTTCAGCTTGAGGAAGTCTCCTCCGCATCAAAACAATTTAATAAAAAATTGTGATTAAGAGTTACTCATCAATTGACAGGGCATACCAAGCTTGTGCTATTTATGAATTATCCCACATGATATTTTACGTCCAACAAATAGAATCCACATTTATTAAGGGGTAAGCTAAAAAGCCAGTTAAATGCTTCCATGATGTATAAATTCTGTGTTATTCTTGAAACCATATTTCTTTAATAGGTAAACTGGCATTCCACAGGGTAATTCTGCTTTAATTCTATTCTTAGGATCTAGGCAGCTTCAGGGATACTCTGAATATAAATTTAATTCCTCTATTCATCTTTGGGTGGTATCTCTCAGCATATCTGCCATCGGAGGATATGGCATAAGAATGCTCATCAATTGTACGGCAGAATTCAAGCATTAAAATATTGACTCTAAAGCTATTTATAAAATGTTAAGAACCAGTCCAATTCCAAACAGAAAACATTTCTGCTCATATGTTGCAATCCTCACTCCCATGTGAAGATAGTAGGAGATGGGATCCTGGTGGGGGTCATCAGGCCACAAGAATTCTCATGCATGGGATTAGTCCCCTTATAAAACAGACCCAGGAAAACTCTCTTTCCTTCTTTCTGCCAGTTGAGGATAGAGGGAAACAGCTGTAACCTGAAAGAGGGTCCTCACCCGAACCGAGTATGCTGGCCCCCCTTTCTTGAACTTTCAGCCTCCTAGAACAGTGAGAAATGAATTTCTCTTATTTATCAGCCAATAGTCTGGGGTACTTTGTTACGGCAGCCAGAACTAAGATAATACTGTCATGTGAGAATTAGACTCTTAGTAAAGTATACAAATAATGCCACAAGCAAATTAATAGAAATCCTTCCAGAAACAATCATGGGACGCAGCTTGATCACACTTACCGGAAATATGCTAACCTTAGTCTATACAGAAACTCTAAGTTTGAAATAACTTTACCACCAAACATCATATTCTTCAGCCCAAATGTTAATATTCAAAAGCTAAATTTTTATTTTCACACTTACCATGTTGTATGTCTTTCATATCTAAATGAAGACTAGACATTAGTATTCCAACTGCTTGTGATCTTTTGTTGCTTAATAACTTGACAACCTGCTCAAGAAAGTAGAAGGGGAAAATGTTAATTTGAACTCCAACATGCTGACTAGCATTTCTAAAAGTCCTAAATGAAGAACAAATTAAGAGAAAATATCTTGTGTCATTACTTAAGTATTCAAAAAAGTTTATTTTTTTAATGTTTGAAGAGAGCTTTTGGGTTTGATGTCACAAATCTTCAAAATCCACCATTTTCCTCCATTATTCTCATCAGCCTCAAAGACATGTTTTATAACAAGTCTTCTGAGAGCCTGATCTGTCAACAAGTAAAATTTCTAATGGTCTAGGAAGTTAGTCTGGTCTCTCTGTAAAATCACAATTACACAAAGGATCATTTGCAGCCTGAGAGTTGAAGTGTTTTTTTTTTTTTTTTTTTTAATGTGAAGCCTTAAAACACATCAACGAGTGAAGGGCAAAATAAAAGTACACACATAGAGAATCTGTCAGATTAGTTTGGTTGTACCATAAAATTTTTTTTAAATGTGCTTTCATTTGGGTCACATAGAGAGTTTTGCTAGATTAGTTTACCATTAAGAATATCATTTTACTTCGTTACTTTGTATAACAGTTGGATATGATTATTTTATTACTATTCTAATTGACCCATCTTAAACCAAAATGGAAGGCAGGGTCCACAAATGCAAGAGCCATTAGGGCAGATGTCATTTCTGGTAATAGAGAATCTGCTAGGTTGGTTTGGTTGTATTACAAAACAAGGAAATGTGCTTTCATTGGGATCACATAGAAAGCTCACTGCTTTACTGGAAGTTCCTCTCATTCTGCATTTGACCCACATTTTATGGAGAACTTTCCAACTAATTAACAGAGTGATACAAGTATCAAATTAAAAAGGCGTCATCAACACAATCTCAAGTCTGGATTTCCAGCACGTCTGGAAGAATCAGGGCACATGAACCCATGGGAAGGTTTTCCTAAAACAGAGGTGGGCTGGCCGTTGTAGAGCACATAGATATTTTTTGACCATGTTTTCCAGACAACAGAATCACTAGGAAATCCCGCTTATGAAATTCATCCCAGGCTCTGATCGTGTGAAGGGCAGCATTTTCTATTTACTCCCAGTATTCTGCTTTAAATGTGCTTAGAAAAACAATGGAGGAAAAGGAAAGAAAAATGATTCTTGACAAATACCAGAAGTGACAGCTGCCCTAACAGCTATCGCGTTTGTGGACGCTGGCTTCTATTTTGGTTTAAGTTGGGTCAATCAGGACAGTAATCAAATAATCATATGCAACTGATACACGGAGTCACAGGGTAAAACAATATCCTTAACAGCAGTAAGAGCACTCCTGGTTCCCCAGTATGAATGGGGGTGGGGAACAAAAGAAAACGCTTCCAGAAGGACCAGCCCCCAAAACCATCCTGATCATTTCTTTTTTTCTTTTCTTTCTTACTTCTTCTTTTGAGATGGAGCCTCACTCTTTCACCCAGGCTGGAGTGCAGCGGCATGATCTTGGGTCACTGCAGCCTCCGCGTCTCGAGTTCAAGTGAGTCTCATGCCTCAGCCTCCTGAGTAGTTGGGATTACAGGCACACGCCACCATGCCTAGCTATTTATTTTTATTTATTTATTTTTTTGAGATGAAGTTTCGCTCTTGTTGCCTAGGGTGGAGTGCAATGATGCGATCTCAGCTCACTGCAATCTCCACCTCCCGGATTCAAGCCATTCTCCTGCCTCAATCTCCCAAGTACCTGAGATTACAGATGCCCACCACCATGTCTGGCTAATTTTTTTGTTGTTGTATTTTTAGTAGAGACATGTTTTCATCATGTTGGTCAGGCTGGTCTCAAACTCCTGACACTGTGATCTGCCTGCCTTGGCCTCTCAAAGTGCTGGGATTACAGGCATGAGCCACCATGCCCAGCTTATTTTTTTCATATTTTAGTAGAGACCAGGTTTTACCATGTTGGCCAGGTAGGTCTTGTACTCCTGACATCAGGTTATCCACCCACCTTGGCCTCCCAAAGTGTTGAAATAACAGGCATAGGCCATTGCTGTCTGGCCCCTCCCTGATCATTTCTGAAAGTCTCTGTGGTAAGGGACAGTAGTATCTCTCCAAAGGCGTTGCTTTTGCGAAACGGAAAACAACATATAGATTTCAATTCTAAATTGACTCTTAAAACATTTTTCTAAATTCCACCTAGAAAAATCAGGTTAAAACTTGAATATCAATCAATCAGTACAGCAAAGTATTTCTGTCCATCGCATTGTCCTCTTCAGAGTTTAAAAAATACGAATTTAATATCAAAGAAGCAGAAGGTGTACACTCTCTCCTGAAAACCGGTTTCTAACCACCAGTCAATGCAATCTGGGCCCAAACCTGCTGCTTGACAAAAATGCTTTTGTTAAGGTTTTCTATCACCATCTGGTTCCTCAATGCAATAGGCATGTTTGAATCTGTGTATCATTTGACCTCCCTATAGTATTGACATGTTGATGACACTCTTATAGAAACTTTTTCCAGGGCTCCTAACATTTCTTCTCAGTCCTTTTGAAGATGAATATTCTGACTGCACCTTAAATATGTGCATATCCCAGGGTTCTGTTCTCTGTGCCTTACTGTCTTCACATATAACCTATAATTTCTCCTGTAGAAATGTACACATCTGCATCTTCAACATGGCCATCTCCTTTCCCAAAAGACATCTCCATTTAAATTACCCACATAATCTCAATTCGACATGTCTAAAATGACACACATATTGGCTCTACCCCAACATCACCAGCCAGCTTCCTCTCCTTTATGCTATATATTGAGACAAAGGTACCACGATTCTTCATCCACCTACCAACATTAGGAATCTAGAAGTCAATCAAGACTCCCACCTCCCCTTCACTGGCATACTCTGGTCTGATATCGAGTCCTGTTAATTATACCTCCTCTGTATCTGTGGAAACCACCCCTCCTCCTTAACTTTATTTTCAGCATTTAGCATTTTGCATAGATAAATGCAAAAGATTTCTGATTGGTCTCCCAAAGTCTAGTCCAGTGGTTCTCAAAGTGTGTTCCTTGGACAAAGGGGCACCATCATCACCTGGGAAGTTATCAAAAATCCAAGAAAAAGTTACAGGGGGACTTCAAGCTGGCTGACTAGAGGCACCTGGTACTCACCTCCTCCACAAACAAGAACTGAAATAGCAAGTAGATAATCGCAGGTCAAACAGATCACACAAGGAAGAACATTGGAATTCAAAAAATAAGTGACAGGAAACATGTGAGGCAAAGAAGAAGGAAGTGGGGCAGTCTGCTCAGCCAGGATCCACTGGGAGCCTAGAGAGGCTCTCTAATGTGATAAAGGTTCTCCAGGCTGCCTCATGTGGAAAAAATTAAGTGAGCGACCCCAGAAGCCCACGTTTCCACCACAGACACCTGCAATCCTAGCCGTGGGAGAACCCCTCGACCCATACAGGCCCTGAGACGAACAAAGGGAGCTGCCGGGAGATCATGCAGCAGCACGCCTCCGGAGAGGGGCTCACACTGAGTTCCACTCACCTGCTGTGCTATAAACAGTGACAGCAAGGCACTATATTGAAATGCCAGCCCCCACCAGACACACTGCCCTAAGGCCCAATAGCCCCTTCATCTCCACCTCCCTGGGGCTCCCTTGATATCCTCTAACCACAGCCAGGGCCAAAGCACAAGCCTTTGCCAATGACCCTGCTGCCCCTAGTAGCAAGGCCGTCACGAATTTAAGAGCACCCTGAGGATGGGGTACCCCACTTGCCTCTGCCATATGAGGCCACAGCACATGCTTCCCCAGTCAGCTGTTTATTACCACTGCCATCTATCTTCACCCTCTCCAGCAGCAGGGCCTCAGGGCCACCATGAAGTCATTGCCACTTCCACCCAGCCATTCTGCTGGAGGCACAGGGACCACCCCTATCCTGCTTACCACAGCCAGCACCCACATGTACCACCAGAGAAAAGGAATACTTAACCAAGTTAAAACCCACCCCACTGCCCCAGTGCCTAAGCACACCATCCAGAGGCTTGGGAATGGCCCTGCCCCATTCACCACCATTAGCACCTGAGCACTCCTTTGAAGGGCCTGAGGACAAACCCACCCAACTTACTGCTAACACCACAACTAGCACCCACCCACTCACACCATCCACTCACCCATGCCACCTGCAAGCGTTGATACTGCCTGGCCTGTCACAGCCACTGCCAACACCAGTGCAAACCATTTGGGAGCCTAAGGGTTGTCTCACCACTGCTACTGCTGTCACTGACACCATGCCCACTGCCTAGGGGCCCAAGGACCCTCCCAGCCACCCAGGCCACTGCTTCCACTGCTGGCACCCAAGCAAACCACCTGGAGGTCCAAGAATTGGCCTGCCTGAACCCGCTAATATCAGGGCCAGCATACACCACCGGAGGACCAAAGGACCAGTATGCTCAACTTGCCACTGCCACCTCGAGCACCTGCCAATGATTGAGGACTGGCCCTAGCATCGTCATCCCCAGCAAATCTTTACCACAATCTCCACTAACAACCACACCCTAAGCCACTGAAAAAATTACAAGCACTACTGACACTTACAAATGAAAAAAATCATACAGGCCGGGCGCGGTGGCTCAAGCCTGTAATCCCAGCACTTTGGGAGGCCGAGGTGGGTGGATCACGAGGTCGAGAGATCAACCATCCTGGTCAACATGGTGAGACCCCATCTCTACTAAAAATACAAAAAACTAGCTGGGCGTGGTGGCGCGTGCCTGTAATCCCAGCTACTCAGGAGGCTGAGGCAGGAGAATTGCCTGAGCCCAGGAGGCAGAGGTTGCGGTGAGCCGAGATCGCCCCATTGCACTCCAGCCTGGGTAACAAGAGTGAAACTCCGTCTCAAAAAAAAAAAAAAAAAAAGAAAAAAATCATACAGAGACTACACTGCTGGATTCACCCAGAATCAAAGCCAAAGTGCTATATCAAACCAGCATCATAGATACGTGTTCAGGAAAAAGTCCTCCCCTACAAAAGCAA